TGTTCTGGGTCTAGCCAGGCGATGATATTGGCACCATAAAAAAGAAAGAACGTGTACACGAGACAAAAAGGAAAGAAAAAAAGTGTATGATCAGCTTAAAGGCTGCCACCCCGGATGTTCTCCGAAGGATTATGATGGAGCTCTTAGGAGTAAATGTGAAATTCGAGATTTCAGTAACAAGGGACGCGCGCAAGACCTCAGATTAGAACTCTAACCGTGTGTTTTATTCTTCTATACGGCTCACATCCTTGTTTGTGGGTTTGGCCTCTTCGACCTAACTTAGGAAATGCGCATCAGACCTTATAGTAGGATTCGTATTATGTCGTTTGTTTATTTCTTTGTTGTTGTTGCTGTTGTTGTTGTTGTTGTTGTTGTTGTTGTTGCTGTTGATGATGATGATGTTGTTGTTTTTGCTGCTGCTGCTGATGTTGTTGTTGTTGTTGTTGTTGTTGTTGTTGTTGTTGCTGATTTTTTTTTTGTTGTTGCTGTTGTTGCTTTGTCTTTTGACTAACTCCATTAATTAATGTCACGATGACACGTCTTTTGCTTCTTTTGAGACTGGAAGAGTAGGCCCTCACAACGTAACCCGTACTTCAAAATGATTGCTTCGAAGGAAACAAAATGTCACAGCCTACGTGTTTTTTACCGTTACCGGTGGCTCGTTTATACGAAGACACTTGATTGAAGTAGCACCTTTTTTACCAATGTTTTTTTTCTTCAGATGCTTTGTATTCAAAGTAAACTTTTTGTTTTACGCGCGGCACTCCTAACAAAATTAGGTCACAAAAGTGCCGAAGATTAGATATGTTACAAGCGAGTGACAAACACAAAAGGAGCGAGGAGAGATAAAAAAGATAGATGTTTGATAGGAAAGAAGGAGCAAACCACACCAGAGCAGCCGCCAATCACTCACTCAAAGTAAACATTACCAAAATCTGTGATGTAGCGGTTAGGCGCTTCGTTGTTGCACGCAGGAGGCCCAAGTTCAATTCCTGAGTGGGGAGAAACAGTTTTTTTGTCGAATATCTCGGTCTTTCTGCTGGATGTTGCATCTCACTCAGTAGTCTCCGCCTGATTTGTAACGGACAGACGGGGTCGGGAGCCTGCTTCTTAAATGATCTTAATTGTGTAGATGGGGACAACCACCTACAGTGAAAAAAGCCATAAAAATATTGTCACTTGCGTTGTTCTTGTTGCTGGCAAAAGAGAAAAAAAACAAACATCATTTGATTCTCACTTTTACAGTTTACAGTTAATCTGACAAGAGAGCTCCAGCAAATCAATAATAAGAATATAAATAATATAAATA